TATTTTATATCCTGTTTGTTTTCCTGGAAAGAGAAAAGGTATTGGGAGGATTCAATATGTTCCTGTCTTCTTTTTGGTGATGGAGAAAATGGGTGATTCTGATTCTCCGGCTTTTGTTCTTCCCTTTTCTTAGATTAGTTTTTGTTCCTTCTTTATATTGGTGACTCAAAAATGGCTGCTAATCTAAAACTCTGCACCTTTTTGTTATAGACTCTCTTCTATGTTAAAAGTTTTGTTGAATTTTTTTCCCCTCTTTTATCTGCATTTTATGAATCCTGTTATATATTTTTTTTATTTGGTGTATGTGTTTTCTTTAATGTTTATGATTCGGTACTTTGAATTTACCTTTATTTTCTGTTTGTTTGTTTGTTGACAAATTTGATTAAATTAAGGAACATGTTCCATGCTCTATCAAAATTTTATATATGCTAAGTGTTCTCCTTGATGCATTTGTTCATTATTGTTTAACTGACTATTTGTTCCTTCCCTCTACAGATTCCCGGTAGCTAATATTACCGTATGTGACATTTCCCTTCTCTGAATTTCATCAGACAAGCACAAACACTCATGAGTAATCTCAAACTTGGAGTAGAGGTGGTTGGTGCCCATGACCTTCTGTCCAAAGATGCGCAGGGCTCATCCAGTCCCTTTGTGGAACTCCATTTTGATGGTCAGAGATTCCGCACCACTACCAAAGTCAATGACCCTAATCCTGTTTGGAATGAAAGTTTCTACTTCAACATTTCTGATCCAAACAACTTATCCAACCTCAATCTTGAAGCCTTTGTCTATAACCATAACAAAGCTACCAACTCCAAACCATGCCTTGGAAAGGTTCGCCTCACTGGTACTTCATTTGTCCCGTACTCTGATGCAATTGTTTTGCACTACCCTCTGGAGAAACGAACCATATTCTCTCGTGCAAAAGGAGAGCTTAGTTTGAAAGTATTTGTTACTGATGACCCTTCAATTAGAGCCTCAAATCCTCTTCCTGCAGTGGAAACATCTATGCAAGTGGATTCACAGTCAAAGCATTCTGAGAAAAGAGAGAAGAGACGCACATTTCGTCATCTCCCAACCATCAGTGGTTCAAAACAGCAGCAGCAGCAACAATTTTCCTCAGCACAAGTCCAGAAAACAGTAAATTATGGGGTTCAGGGGATGAAATCCATACCACAGCATTCAAGAAATTTTCCCATGTTCCCAGGTTTATCATCACAGCCACTAGATTATGCATTGAAAGAGACCAGTCCCTTTCTTGGAGGGGGGCAGGTTGTTGGTGGACGTGTCATAAGAGGAGACAGGCCAACCAGCACCTATGATCTTGTTGAGGAGATGCAGTACCTTTTTGTGAGAGTTGTAAAGGCCCGAGACCTTCCTTCTAAAGGTGTGACAGGGAGCCTTGATCCTTATGTTGAGGTAAAAGTTGGGAACTACAAAGGAATCACAAAGCACTATGGGAAGACACAAGACCCTGAGTGGAATGAGGTTTTTGCCTTTGCGAGAGACACGGTGCAGTCCTCTGTGCTGGAAGTTGTCGTCAAGGATAAGAATCTATTGAAAGATGATTTTTCTGGGATATTGCGGTTTGATCTCAATGAGATTCCCACAAGGGTTCCACCTGATAGTCCATTGGCTCCAGAATGGCATCGTCTAGAAGACAAGAAGGGAGAGAAAAAGCATGGAGAATTAATGCTGGCTGTTTGGTATGGCACACAAGCTGATGAGGCATTTCCTGATGCCTGGCACTCAGATGCTATTGCTCCTGGTGATACTTCATTTGCCTCTGCACATATCCGGTCAAAAGTATATCATTCTCCAAGATTGTGGTATGTCCGCGTTTCTGTGATTGAGGCACAAGACTTGATTACAGGAGACAAGAGCAAGTTTCCAGATGCTTATGTTAAGGTTCAGATTGGTAGCCAGCTCTTAAAGACAAAAGTAGTTCAAACTCGTACTTTGAACCCAGTCTGGAATGAGGAGTTGATGTTTGTTGCTGCTGAACCTTTCGAAGAACATCTGATCCTTTCAGTTGAAGATCGCTCTGGCTCCAACAAAGATGAGGCAATTGGGAGGGTTGTTATACCATTAAACACTGTTGAAAGGCGTGCTGATGATAAAATTGTTCATAGTCGTTGGTACCATCTTGACAAGTCTTTGTCAGCTGCCATGGATGGAGAGAGTGCAAAGAAAGATAAATTCTCTAGCAGAATCCATGTTCGTGTCTGCCTCGATGGAGGGTACCATGTGCTTGACGAGTCAACACATTACAGCAGTGATCTCAGGCCAACTGCAAGGCAGCTCTGGAAGCCACCTGTTGGTATTTTAGAGCTTGGAATCCTGAATGCTGATGGACTTCATCCTATGAAAACAAGAGATGGAAAAGGTACCTCAGATACGTACTGTGTAGCTAAGTATGGCCAAAAATGGATTCGAACTCGAACCATTATCAATAGTCTGAGTCCAAAATACAACGAGCAGTACACATGGGAGGTCTACGATCCGGCTACTGTTCTTACTGTTGGGGTGTTTGATGACAGCCAGATTGATGGTTCAAGTGGTAACAAAGAAATGAACATTGGAAAGGTCAGGATCCGTATATCTACTCTTGAAGCTGGTCGTGTTTATACGCACTCTTATCCACTGCTAGTCCTTAATCGCTCTGGAGTCAAGAAGATGGGTGAGCTACATTTGGCGATAAGATTTTCATATACCTCATGGACAAACACAATGTTTCAATATTCACGGCCTCTTCTACCAAAGATGCACTATATTAGGCCATTGCCTGTGCTACAACAGGATATGCTGCGACACCAGGCTGTCAATATTGTGGCAGCACGGCTCAGTAGAGCAGAACCTCCTTTGAGGAAGGAAGTAGTTGAATACATGTCTGATGCAAACTCTCATCTCTGGAGCATGAGGCGCAGCAAGGCTAACTTTTTCCGCCTGATGTCTGTTTTCTCAGGAGTATTTACTCTTGCTAAATGGTTTGGGGAGGTAAGCATGTGGAAAAACCCCATCACAACAGGATTGGTGCATGTTCTCTTTGTCATGCTTGTCTGTTTCCCAGAATTGATTTTACCAACAGTATTTCTATACATGTTCGCGATTGGGGTTTGGAATTATCGGTTTAGAGCAAGATACCCTCCTCACATGGATACAAGAATCTCTCATGCAGATATGGTTCACCCTGATGAACTTGATGAGGAATTTGACACTTTTCCTACTTCAAGAAGCTCAGATATTGTTCGGATGAGGTATGATCGGTTAAGGAGTTTGGCTGGGAGGATTCAAACTGTTGTTGGTGACATGGCTACCCAGGGGGAAAGGGTTCTGGCACTATTAAGCTGGCGGGATCCTCGTGCTACAACTATATTTTTGGCACTCTGTCTTCTGGCCGCTGCTGTGTTGTATGTAACTCCTTTCCAGGTGCTTGCACTTCTGGGTGGCTTTTACACTATGAGACATCCCAGGTTCCGTCACAGGACACCCCCAGCGGCAATTAATTTCTTCCGGCGCCTACCTGCCAGGACAGATAGTATGCTGTGAAGATAAAGGTTTTGTGCATCCATGTTTGTAAAGCTTTGGTTTTTATTTCTTTGTTGGCTGTTCCTTCATCGTTGGTGATTGATGCTGATACAAGTCTATGTATGCTTTGCAATCAAGATTATATAAGTTTAATTTCAAGGATCAATTTTAGATAGATACACGTAACTCAATACAAAGAAGTACAATTTTATTGCTTCACCTCTCAAATACGTAGAACATAATACAAAACAGGTAGAGCCGTAGAGGGGGGTAGCTAGACTTGTACATACAACATAACATACAGGAGATGATACCTGTATTCTAACTGCAAATAGACACCATATATAAACATGATAATTAGGCATCGGACCAATATATAACCATTTGCCCCCAATCACTTTCTGGCACCCCCAAGGCCTTCCAGACTGTTTTTGAGGCATCGACAATGTTGTAAGGGCAGGGAGGTTGGTAATCATGATCAGCATCACAACCCATTGTAGAGTCACATTCATCAACCACCTTGGCCTTGACAGTCCTTCCATTGCCTTGGATATTGATGTAATTCGAACACCTGCTGCCCTTGTTGTACCACCCTGTTGAGAGTGCCACTATAGGTTCATTATCAGAGTGGTACAGGCTGTCACATTCTGATGGTGCACCACCATCACAATTCTCCTCAAAGCAGTTGAGTGTTAGGGTTGCCTTTGTGTGGCTTGAAACCGGAGGTGAACACTTATATGTAGTGTAAAGCTTGCCTTCCACACAGCAATCCGAGTCATTGTCTTGGTTGCATTGCCCTGGTGGAGGCTTTTTCCCTCTTAAGTTGCCACTTGGCTTGCAAGTCCCAGCTTCAACACCCAGAGTCGCTGTGCCAAGAAAAATGAGGCAGAGGAGGAAAAGGGCACAAGAAAAAACTTGCTTCTTCATCGTAATTTTACTGTCTTCTCGTAAGCTTTTGTGATGGTTTTACTTGGTGCAGAAACCTGAAAAGGGGTACGGTATATATGTAGATGGGGATGGCCTCTCAGAAGAAACTACTAGTTTTTAGTTTCTGAGATCAGGACAATTTTGGAGTCATCATTTTTACAAGAATTTGACCACTCATTAGAGATATTGTACTGGAAAATCTGACAAGGAAGGAACGACTGTAATCTAAACAGAATCATTCAACATTTGAACACATGTTTGTCATATTACCCTATTGACTTTTCCTCAGTTTTGGACTTACATTCCCATTGGTATAAGTTGACCTAAAGAAAATTTGTTTTTTGATGGTATTGCAGTAACCTTTGCATTCAAGAAGGCTGCTTTCTTGTTTCTGCTTCCGACTTGTGATTTTTTTAAGGAAAATAAAATTCATATAGCAGATTTAGAATTTGATGGAAGATTCTAATTCTGGATTTAGGACAGAATAAAAATATTAAAATCTGACACAATTGACCCAATTGATGGTGCATTGGAGAATCTGAAAGCTGGCGGCGGAAACTGAAGTTGTGAATCCTGCTGCATCTCCATCTTCGGAGACACCAACCTTTTCACCTTCTTGTTTGGAGGGATTTCATCATGCAGTTAATTCTCAGAGCAAAATTTAACTTGTTTTCACCACACAACTAGCAAACTTAAGAAGAACCTGAAATTGGTGAGATGAAAAATCCAGTTGATCAGTAGTGATTTTGGAAATAGGAAGATTGTTTGCTACTGATTCAACATTTTCAAATTCTCATAGAACACCTCTTATCTTCCCCATTACATGCACATTGCACGAAAATCAATATATGCTTTGGTCTTGGCCTGCATTGATCTAGTAAATTTTTGTTTAGTGATTTTTGCAAAACCAACAAAGGGCTGCTATGCTCATAGGCCTTTAAATTAATTAGTCTTTTCCAGCATAATTAATGCAGGAGAACCAACAACCAGAGGCTCCTACTTTCTATGTCAGATGTAGTTCCTGTGCTTTCTCTTTCTCAACCAGTTTCTAGAATTGATTATTATTAGAAGGCCTGTTTATTCCATATTTTGGTTCCAGTGGATTTTATCAAATTTAATATTTATTGCACAAAGACTAAATTCTTATGGATCTTGTATTAGTAAATAGAAACCGAAACTTATAACTATCAGGGCAAAGGTAAATATTTATTGCTTCAAATTTGATGCATGTACAACTAAAGCCAGATGGAAACTGAAAATTAAAGGACCAGAGTGGCTGAGTAGCGTGCAGCCTTATTGTTACAACTTGTAACAATATTCTGGATATTCAAGCAATAACCTAGAAAACATGAAATAAGCATTTCCTGCTTGTAGCAATGCAGATATGGTGAAAACCAATCATGCATCAGACCAGTATATTTCCATGAGCCCTCCCAAGGCCTCCCATACTGCTCTTGAGGCATCAACAATGTTGTTGTCACAAGGAGGCTGGTAATCATGATCTGCATTACAACCCATTGTGGAGTCACATTCATCCACCACCATGGCCTTGACACTCCTTCCATTGCCATAGATGTTGATGTACTTGTGGCACCTGCTGCCTTTGTTGTGCCATCCTGTTGACAGTGCCACCATAGGATCATCATCAGAGTGGTATTTGCCATCACATTCTGATTGAGCACCACCATCGCAATTCTCCTCGAAGCAGTTGGTTGTTAGAGTTGACTTCGTGTGGTTTGAAAGCAGGGGTGTATGATGTAGAGCAGGGAGCAAAGGTGAGGATAAAATTTAGAAAGAGGCAAGGGTGGGAAGAGAATAGCAGAACTAAGAATTTCTAAAAGTTAATTTTAATTTACAAATACTACAACTAAATAATCCTAATACAACCTAAACTTAAATATAAAACCCAAAAACTCAATTAAGACTAATTTCTAATTAGACTCCCAATTAAATATTTATTGAAAGATAATAACAAATCCTAATAAATATAAATTACTGTAATATTTTTATTTAATTCCTATATATTCATAATCATAATAAAATCTTAATAAATATATTATTTCTCTGCATCATTCTCCTATAGTTTTGGAGTGTTGAAGCCATACAAATTTTAAGACAACAAAATAATACATTTGTAGTGCTTTGGTAACTTGACTTCGATCTTTAAACCAAGCAAAATAGACTTCAAAATAGACTTCAAAGTATGATGTTTATCATCAAATTCTTTAGAAAAAATGAACTCAACAGGTTGAACAATTTGCAAGACAGGGAGGGATTCAAAATTTTCTTCCACGATTTCCACTAAGCCATTTGGCTCTAATTTTGGAAGTTTCTTGAATACTATTTCATCAACATATTCTCTACTTTCCATCATGTCTTTTACCTCTGAATGTTGAAGCTCTTCAAATAACTCATTTGGCTTGAATTCTTGTTCAGAATCCAACAAGAGAAGAGTCAAGTAATTCACCAAATTGTTTCTTTGAACTTTTACTATATTGTGTTCTATTGCTAAATCACTATCATCTTGGGTATGGGAATACCATAGCAAAAGGTTGACTTTGGAATTTCTTCATCAGTAACATAATTATCTGCTACACCCTTTGTCAAATAAGGCTTAAGCTTTGTAGTACAGTTTGCAAGCACTTTTTTTGACAATTTTCAAGCAATAGGCAGAGCAACCACACCATCTTTTTCCACACAAGAAAGTAATAAAGATAGTAGTTCCATAGGAATATCTTCACTTTCTTGTAAAACAAGAGTCATAATACTTCCCATATAGTGGAAGACAACCTGTGGGTGGTAATCCCAAATTGATAATAGAAAATGTTGGAACATTTCAATAATTAGTGCATCACACTCAAGATCCAACATCAACACACAAGATTAAACCCTTGCCATAATGCTCAAAATTATTTTTCTATTATAATATGAATTGTCATGATCATCAAACAAATGCTCGAATGATGAAACAATTAATTTAAATACCTCCTTCATTGTGTCATTGTCATATGGAGTAGTGATTCTCATCATCTCACTAATGTAAGCTGCAATAGCAACTCTAACATGGGCATCTGAATGATGAAAAAGGTGTTATGAAACCAAAACCTATTTTGGTGGAGATAGTGCCTTTTCTAAGCATGGACATGGCTTTTGTTCCACTTTTGAAAGGAAATTCCTAAATTGTACTAAGATAGAGAAAAGATCATCGATTGAAGAAGGAGGGTTCTTGAGGAATACCCAACTTCCTTCAACCGTTCTATCAACAACAACCCTTTAAAATAAGAGACTATGATTTCATTCCATTAAACTAGAAAATCAATTTCAAGCAACTGACTTAATTTAAAACAACTGGCAGTTCCAAGTAAAATTTGGCAAAAAAGACCTCAAAAAATGGATTCAGCACCTTGAAATTAGGTGGAATGGTCGGTTGACATGTGATGATGTTGCATTGAACTCAAGAGGATTGGTTGAGAGGTGGTGTTGACTTGTCCTAATATGGCGTCTCTATTGGAAGACATTAATTTGAGGCAAATCCAAATAGAATGGGTCAAGAGTGATGGCTTCCTTTTGGTTTTCTAAACTAGATAACTTCTTTTGATTTTCTCTCTTGGATCATGAAACAGAAGTGATACTTACTTCTTCTCTTCTTCTTTCCCCTTTTTTTTTTTCGCTGTTGGTTTGGATTTGAAACGTGATATCTTGGAACTGAAGGCTTTGATACCAATTGATGTAGAACGGGGAGCAAAGGTGAGGATAGAACTTTGAAACAAAGGCAAGGATGGGAAGAGAAGAGGAAAATTAGGGATTTCTTGAAGATAATTTCAATTCATAAACAATTCAACTGAATAATTTTAGTACAACTTATTCCTAAATATAAAAACTAAAAACCCAAATTAGACTTGCTTCCTAATTAGACTTCCAATTGAATCTTTATTAAAAGATAATAACATATCCTAATAAATATAAATTACTAGTACTATTTTCATTTAATTTCTATATATTCATAATCATAATAAAATTCTAATAAATATATTATTTTGTTCCTTATTTGCATCAGGTGAGCACTTGTATGTGGTATAAAGCTTACCTTCCTCACAACATTCTCAGCCCTTGCTTTGGTTGCATTGCCCACGTGGAGGCTTTTTCCCTCTTAACTTGCCACTAGGCTTGCAAGTCTTTGCATCAACACTCAAACTGAATGTAACAAGAAAAATGAAGCAGATGATGAGTAGTGCAGAACTATCTGAATCCATATATTGTCTGATTTTACGCCATTAGTAGTTCAACCTGAAGGAAGTTTTTACATTTATGATTTTACTGAAGGGATCTTTGCAATGAAGTTTCAATACTGTAATAAGCTCAAAATTCCTTTCTTCTAGTAATAGTTTCAAGGCTGTTTTCTTGTTTCAGCTGCAAGGTTTCTGCTTTTCTTATGCATGCAGATTAGAATCTGACTATAGATTCTAATATCAGACAAAATGCATAAAACTTAGCTATAAGATCTCTTAGCTGCTCAACCAGCGGAATAAATGAAGCCATGATGTGAATTCCAGTGCATATTTATCTGATGGAAACAAATTTATCTTGCTAACTGTTACCATATTGTTTGGAACGATCTCACCTAGTTTTTCTCATGTGGCCCTTGGAATCCTTTAATCTGATGGAAACAGCAAGCATTGTCAATCAACAATGGTGAAACTTTGAGAAGATTTTCAAAGTAAAGCCGTGTGATCTTTTCAATTTTCAGTATCAGCTGATTGAGATATTCCCTACTGAAATTTGCCCATTTCTTCTTGTTTTGGGCAAATTAATACATTAGAATTATCTCAATTAGCAGAAAATGTCACAAATATATGTAAATATGATGATGCTGACTGAAATCTCATTGATCATGTTCAAATCATTTCAATCATTAAACTACAGATACAAGTACAGAATCCCATTTCCTGTAAAGGTCAGAACAGAATCATCAAGCCAAGAATCAGCTTGTCTGTATCCTATGGCCGTGGGATTTTGGAGAATTACATTCATGTGGCCTCAAGACATCAAAGTATTTACACTGCTCATTCATAATATAAGGGTGAATCATCATCCACGCATTAGATCAATGTCAACATGTGTGCTTCGCATGTCAATTGATCGTGCACCAGGCCATACACTTGTTGGAGATGGAGAGAGATTTTGACTCGGCACAACACTGGTTGGAGTGAACGGATTGTCAACAGTTTGATCCTCTGGGTCCTTGATAACTTGATCATCCACTTTCTTTTTCTTTGTTTTTGAACCACCCCATAAGAAACTCCCCACTATCACCTGGACCAGCATCCATATAATGGTATCTTATATTTATAAAATTTTGTTTGATAATGTGCTTCTAATTGTAAGAAAGAGAAATGAAATAAAATAAAAAAAGAAATGAGAGCAACTAAGCAGTTACCTGCACTGGACTTGCTGCAATAAGCATTCCCCCAACACCTCCACCAATGACTCGACCATCAGGACTAGCAAGGGAGACACTAAGACCACCAGTTCGATTTCTAGGACCACTGTTACTGGTGAGAAGGTATGAGCCTGACAGACATAATATCTCAAATCGCCCCTACAGAAACCAAAATGTGCTTTAAAAGTTTTGCTTTCAACAATAACTCATGCGAAAGATTAGAGTTTGTAACTTGTAAGGAAAAGAAAATCTATATATTCAAACCAGAGAAAGGACAAGCATATGCTCATATCTGTGCATAAAATCCTCTAGATAAAAGCTATCTCAGAGCCCAAGGATAACATTTATTACTAAACATTGTTCATAATATGCATAGGCAAGTAAAAGAGATAGAGTACACGAACCTCATATGTGACAGTGCCACCAGAAGATGATGGCTGAGTTAGAGTTACAGTGGAGACTGCTCCATTGGCTGACAAGATGCACACTGCTCTTGGCCCTTGCTGTGAAAATGCCATTATTTTTGCTGCGATGTCCTAGAGAAGAAAGTAAAGCAGTTTCAAGACATAAAGAATTTCTTCCACAAATCACAGGACTGGCCCAACAAAGTGCCACCACTTGCAATTGAAAAATTGAAATTTCTTTCATATTAGAGTTACAGCATAGTGGATAGATACAACGGTAACAATTAGTAAAAGAAACTTGCATACTTCTCCAATTTCAATGGTGATGACATGTGGAGTAAAACCCATTCCAGCCGAGCCAGAGAGCCATTCACCTGGAAAAATGAATAAAATTATACATCTATAACATCATTCCCATAACAACAGTAAAAAATAGACTGAACAAAAGTTATAAGACTAATGCACAAATACAAATCACATTCCACAACACAAAATCATATGGAAATCCTAAGAGCAAACATGTTCATGCAATTGAAGATGAGGAAGGTGTCATGATATCACGCTTGGTATCTTGGATTTCAGCACATCATGGATCAGATAAATTCTTAGTTATCACATCTTCCCATTTGCTCAACTACTCAAGTAAATGACAAATGGCTAATCGTACAAACTGGTATCCACAGCTGGGCATAAAGGTAATTTTCTTCATCTTATTCATACCCTTTCTAGCTCCGCCTTTTTTATTTTTATTTTTATCTTAGTTGAAACCAAATGCTTATCCTTTGATATTGCCATAACTCAAAATTTTATTCATTCAAAAATTCAAGACTGAAAAGTGAAAACATTATTAAATTCCATGAGTTATATTTAAGTCAATAATTGGCTATTTTTTTATACATTAGTCAACACAGGGTCCATAGATTTGATTAATCATTTATAATTGAGGTATTGCAGATAGCATTTCCTATAAAAAGGCAGTATTTTGACTCCAGTCTACATAAATAAGCACAATGGATGGCTAGTCTAGACAACCAATCAAAATCTAAAAGCTGATCACCAGGTAATAACAAAAAGTGGATTTTGGCAATTATATTGATCAAATTGAAAGTGAACGTATAAATAAAAATTTGTTCACCCCAAATAACAAGAGTATACAATAAGTCATATTTTCTCATGGTTAAGCTGAATACAAAATATATATATATAAAAATAAAAATAAAAAAAATATCTTACCAAGTGAAGCTAATTGCTGCTTCCTTCCAGATCCTGGTGGTCGACCCCTACCCCGCTTTTGGTTTGGTGTTGCTGCTCCAAGTCCGGGATGTGTAGCTGGTGAAGAAGCCAATGCCAATGACACAGTCCCATCAGGGCCGTATTTCCGGGGCCTTCCCCTTTTCCGTTTCACAGTCTCGCCTAGTGGAACTGCAGAAGATGCAGCCACATTGCTGTGGGGCGAAATTGCAGTCGAAGGCTCAACAGGTAATGTTGATCCAATGGGATTGATGCTTGAATGATATTGAACATTCAGATTAGATAACGAATGCAGGCCTGGAGGAGATCCGTGTAAAGTAGCCTGTGCTCCAGACCCTGACCCAGTTATTCCTCTTTGTTGTATATAATAAGATGAAGACCCAGATAATGTCATAGCATCCCTTCGATCCATGCATTTACCTCAAATAACCTATACTTAAATATTCCTTTGTATCAACTACAACCCAATTGCAAATTAACTTCAAGAATAACACTAGTCTAACCATCCAGTGTGATGACAAACATTCCATACATACTGCAAATCTAAGACAACATAAAATATATGAGACCCTAAATTGTGCAGTTATAAGGTATATAGATCTTGAACTAACATGAAAAGGGTCATACAAATGACAAAACCCTCACAAGAATTTAAGGCAGAACATGATCGATCAAACTCCACCACTGAATGTTCTTGAATTGAAGACAAGAAAGCTCTAATCAGAACCAGGATACATTCAGAGTCAGCAAGAAACAAACCCTAGGTTCAAAGAACTTCCAAAGTTACAAGATGGGAGATGGTAAAGGCTACAAAAGGAATTATCAGATAACTGAGAGATAATAAAAAAGAATCAAAGCAAGAATTGAAAGCAGTCAACAGGAGAAAAGAAGAAAAGGAGGTGAAATCTCAAAAGCTCAAAACTTGAAAGAAAAGACAAAAATGCAAGCTGTTTTACAGCTTACCAAACCAGAAGAAACAAGTAAAAAGGCTTGATACTCAAGATAAAGAACAGATAGAAACTGAAAGCAGGTCCACACTCTCACCAACACATTGTCTGGCTTTAACATCAAGCATCTTCCACAACAAACCCCAAGCCTCAACAAACTCAAAATAAAGAAAAGTATCTAAAAATTTAAGAAAGGAACACACAGTGGTCAGGCAGGTCAATATCAGAAAGCAGTCAAACCCAGTTCAAACACAAAAGAAAAGCAAAATTGCAACTTTTATCTCTAAACAAACCAAAATGACTAGGACGAGATAAGCAACTTACATTTGTGAACTGGGGTTGGAGCCTAAAAGTTGACCACTTTCAAAGGAGTAGGGATTTGAAAGAAACAATGAAGCAAAGAGGCTGCACGGGGTTAAAAGTCGAACACTTTGCAGGCATGAAATTAAAAGCAGAAGATTGATGAGGAGTACTGCAGCAAAGAGCGAGATGAGGAGACCATCAGTGAAAAGGGTGGTGGTGAAAAAGTTCTGAAACTCGTCCAAATAATTACTCAAACTTATTACTACTACAAAAGACCCGTACATACACAAGTCCTTATCTGTGATACATTATTTTAAAGGGCAGAACTTTTCTCTCTTCACATTCTCTCTCCTCAAAGCGGTATATTTTTCCCTCTCCTTCTCTCTCTGTAAAGTTTCAATCTTTATCTCTCTCTCTCTCTCTCTCTCTCTCTCTCTCTCTACTGGGTGCGTGACAACTGACAAGTGAGTGATAAATGATGATGCTTTGCTTCGCTTGGAGATTTAAGATTGAGAATTTTTTTCTTTAAATAATAATAATAAGAAAGAAAAGATTTTTGAATATTCGAAATGTCGAAAATATATATTAATTTTGACCGATTCTGGTTTTCTACCATGCCATTCAGAAATAGGAAACAAACGAAACTTTAAAGTTTAAACCGGTTATTTTTGAATAATTCTAAAATATTGTGACAACTATCTTATTTTTATTTAATAATATAATTTAAATAATAAAATAAACTTTAAAAAAATTTATGTACCTGTACTAACCAATAGCAGTTGTTAAATGGGCTGACTAGTCTGAAGAAAACTTATCATACGCGCAATTGAACCACGCGCCAAATTTCAAGTTTTGTACTTTTTCACTTTTGATAGATGATAGGGTGTTCAATTTAAACATGGGATTTAATTAATTTCACGGTAAATTTTCAGATATTTTATTTTAGGCATATTAATTTATAATTTAAATTATAAAATATAAAATTAATAATATGACAAAAATTATATTATTTAAAATATTAAAAATAAATTTTATATATCTAATAATTAATTTTTTTATTTTTAAATTTTAGAATATTATATATAAATTGATTTAATAATATATTATAAATCTATTATTAATATCATGTTTTCATTTTAAATTTTTATCCACTTATTATTACTCCATTAAAAATAGAGGAGATATTGGAATTGGGGGGTCACGCACCTACGCACGCGACTGGAATCGCGTGGTAGGAAGCTGCGTCGTCATTGATCAAACGGGATGTGGGCCCTGAACTGGGACCCCGCCAGTGTGACCTTTCTTTTATAGCACTTAAATAGCAGTGCGGTAGGCGGTACTAGCCCATGAATGGAATCTAAAATATCTACAAGTAAAAAAAAAAAAAAATTAAAATTAAAAGTTATTTTCGATTTTTACTTTTACTTTTAATTAAATTTAATAAATTAATTTATTTTTTTGAGATAAAATAAAATTAAAATATTTTCAATATGTATATTTTATTTTATTAGAAGACAACTAAATAAGACTAAATGAAGGATTCCTTTGCCAACCAAATCAGTAGTATCGAGTAGTGTAATTGAATAATCCCTTCACATTTTCAAATGAATTTTTTAAAAAATATAGGTTAAAATTATAATTACTATATTTTTAATGTTAATTAATATTAAAAAATAAAAAATAATTTTTATTTTTTTAATATTAATTAATATAAAAGTACAATTTACTTATACTTTTTTCACTCTTTTTTTTCTTTTTTGAACAAATATAGTTGAAGATAGAAAATACAAAATTATAATATGATAAAGCCATAATTTGAACTTTAGTAATTATTAAGCCATTAGATTTTTAATGTAAAGTTACAACAAATTTGTTTGCACCTAATTCTTACTCATTTATGTTGCTGGTAAAAAAAATAAAATATCTTTCTGCGGTCAAAGTGACTATTTATGTTGCATTAACTTCACAATGATCTCAATCCAACATGATTGAACTTCACTATGATATTGAAGATGATTGAGATAATTATTCTTTTTTTCTAATAATGTTATATAACATTGTGTGATATATCAAATAACAGGTACAAGCGAATTAAATAGAAATTAAAGATTGAATCGGGTTTTTAAGTTTAATGATTTATTATTAAGTTTTAATGTTTGATTTTAATTAGTTAAGAGTTTAGCTTTCATCAACGACTTAAAAAATTTCTTATTTTCTTATAATTCCTTGTGTTCAAAAAAAAGAAATAAAGAAATTGAAGATTGAAGATTGGAAATTGAAAAGAAAATTATCACCAGAGGTGCACTTTTGGGACCAATTGTTTTGAGCGAGAAGTAGAAAGAAATCTTTTTACTTGGCTACCAAATGCAATTATGTGCAACGTAATCAGTAATCACCAAATCAATCAAAAAGTCAATTCCAACACCTAGCTTAAATTGAAACATGTTAATCACTAATAGTTTTAGCATATACACTTCAAAACAATGATGAAGAAAACGACGTTGTTTGTTGGGGATTCAAAAGCACCGGTAGGTTTCAGGTAGCTTTTCCCCATCCATGACTCCATTTCCCTCTCTAACTCACCGTTTCACATCGTAGAATTAGATTTAGGGCTTCCTTGAATAATAAATGCTTTGACTGGGCTTGAATTGCCTTCTGGCTGGTCTTGCCCTCTTGAGCTTATTAGCATCTACGCACTCTACAGGTTTCCAGGCCCACCGGGGACTCGCAGCCTAAGGCCCTAACCAAAATCTCACTTCTCTCCAAATCTCATGTGAATATGTGATCTCGTATTGTTGGATGTATCAAAAATATGTTTTTGCAATATGAAAAGAAAAATAAAAATTAAGACATTCTCGCATTTTAATTGTGAGGATTCTTTATAAAATTATTTAAATGCTTTTTGTATGTTGATTTATTAAAAATATTTAAATAATTTCATAAAGAGTCTTGATATTTTAAAAAATATCAAAATATCTTGATTTCCTACCATCCTTGTAAAAACATTAAATAAGTATGTCACATGCAGCTAGGGACAGCTCACAGGCCTCCTTTCATTCAATGACTTTGCAGTCCAGTAGGAGGCTCATTAAATATTTAGCTCAGATGGTGCAAGACCAATATCAACCTACTAGGCCCTAAGCTTTAACCATGTGAGCCAGCATTTTCAAAAGTTATGCCTGCTATTAAGATTCAAGCAGGTATTGGCATAGATATTCAAGAAAAATCCCATGTCAAGTTTATAACCTGGTAGATTTGGTACTTCCTAGTTCATGCGATGCACCTAAAATGCTTCTTTAAGGTCTCATCCACAAGTAGATATAGGCTTGAACAGGGCACTTCATACTTTCTCTAAAGCAAGATTGTTGCACAGAATACTGGTAATCTACATGCCAAACCTCACTGTAATCCATACAATTTACACCTCTTTGTTCTGTGTCTACATATAATTCCAAAATACCTCAGGAAATGCCAAGCATGTTTCTAAACAATGGACGAGACCTGCAAATATGCTTTTGTAATTCAAGCAACAAGACTATAAACTTGGACATTTTCATACCAGTAACTAAAGAAATTTCTCGTTTTAGCACACAAAGTCAATATGCCATACAAAACCATATGAAAACTTAGTGAATTGGATAATATGAATGAGCATGTTGGACAAGAGAAGTCACATAAACAAAAGGCATTTGTCACGATGAAGTATGGATTGAATACAAAACCACAAAGCTAAATAATTTTCCACTCGCACCTAAAAGAGATTCAACATGAACCTCATTTGTCAAGCTCCATCGCCTGTGCTACCTTAGCTTTTGCCACTGCTGTCAACTTGGTCTTCACTTTTCTCTTCCCTACCTGAAACCCACATCCACCCTTCTTCTTCTTGTCACTTCCATCCACCTAAACAATAACAATTTCCCAGCCAAACCAAAAAACCATTAAAACACAAACCAAATAACTTTAACAAAAACAAATGAAATTTATTAATTGAGCACTTAAACAGCTCAAGCAGTACAAGTGAGTAACAAATCAAATTCCCCATCTCATAATCTTCACCTTTAACACCCATAAAACTAACATTAATATATTTAATCAACTGAACTGTGCATCAAAGGAAGTTATGGATTACTTAAAAGGTAAAGAAACTTACTTTCATTTTGTTCTTCTTTGCTTGAAGCTTCTTGGCTTTCTTCTCCTTCTCTTCCTTTTCTCCTGATTACAGAATCAAACACATATAAACAATCAAAATCAATCAGCACAAATTAAACAATCTAACACAAGCTTACAAAGAGGTGGTGAAGATATAGGTAGTAGTACTCTGAAGATCGAATTCGTGCTGCTTTTTCCTCTTTGCTAAATTATTCTTCTTCGACATATCACTATCTTCGGAGACGGCCGGCGAACACAAAACGAACTATCCTCCTCCTTGAAATCGCCGTCCCAGCTCGCTTAAAACCCTAACCCTAACTCCAGTGAATTTTAATTGGAGAAGGAGAAACCATCTTTCACATTCTCCCTCCTAATTTTTTTATTTTCACAAAATTGCCCAAAACATTATCCTTCTCCTCACCAGCGCCCAGAACAAAACAAGGGCACGTTTCGGTTTGACCCAACACTTACAAGCTTTGAAGTTTGATCAAAGCCCAAATATAATTGTTTGGATTAACCCAACTATCCAACTGGGCTTAAGAGCCCGGATGAAAAACTTCCATTAATTCAATTGGGTATAAATAAAGACGACCCAAATAGGGAACGTACTCGCACTTTCGAGAAATTCTTCCAGACCACAGTGTAATATTTCCGTCCAATAATATAATGGAAAAGAGAAAATCATAATATAATGATATTTAAAATATTAAAATATTTAATAATAATTATATGATAAATATAATAAAATTATAATTTATATTATATTTTTATATTAAATAGTTATAATTTGATATTTTAATATTTTAAATATCAAAATATTTTAATTTTTTATAATATAATAATAAATAAAAGTATTTATAAACTAAATCTTTAAAAAATTGAAAAAAAAAAACTAAAAATTATATATTATTTTATTACATTATCATTGAAAACTTTTAAAGTAAAAATGAGTTTGTTTTGATTTTTTTTTTAGCGTTTTAATAAAAGATGTGGGGGTAGTTTTATATGATAACTTTTGTTACAGTAACTTTTTTTATATGTAATTAATAAATATTAATATCATATTGCAATATGTTAATATATGAGATTATTATTTGTAATTAAATAATTAATAAATTAAATTATAATACTCTTTGATTTATTTTAATTATTCATTTTTTATAACTTTATATAAATTAATTTAATAATTTTATGTAGTAAATAAATAATAATTGCACTTGGATCTTTGACCTAGTGACATCGGATCACATATAAGTGCATTCCCCCTCCCCAGGATAACGGACTCCTTGCGAATTTGTTCAAAAAGAAAAAAGGTAAATTTTTTTTTTTAACAATTTTGATATTATTTACAGGTATATATGGGGAGGGGAGAAATAAGTTTCATAGGACTCGAACACGCCATCCACGAAGGTGAACAGCTCTAACCCAAGACCCAATGCCACGAGGTCGAAACGGGTCATTTCAAAAGAAAAAAGGTAAATAAATAATAATTAAAAATAATTTTTAATCTCAATAAAGATAACTATTAAGAATGGTATATAAAAGCCTTTTAATTTTTATCTATTTATTATATAAAATTATTTAATTAAATTTTATTTTAAAATAAAAAAAATATTTTAAGATGAAGGTATAATTTGGTTAGAACTTTATTTTGGTCCCTCAACTATTGTATAGATTTTTAATTAGATCCCTAAGCTAAAAAAATCTTTGATTTGGTCCTTACTATTTACCATTTTAACCCCAACTTAGTCCTTTCGTTAAAAATCGACTTACGTGGATCGTTACTTACAGGAAAAAGATGACAGCATGGCAAAAAAAAAAAAAAATAACGTGGCAAGAAAAAACCTTAAAATATTTCCTTTCTCCCCCTTTTTTTTTCTTCCTTTGATTTTCCTTTTTTCCCTTTCATCTTCCTTTTCCTCTTCCTTTCCTTTCACCTTCTGCAAACCCTAACACCTTTTAATATTAAATAAAAAAAAAACACAAACCCAGAATCTCTTCAAAACAGTCACCGACCCTAAATTCTTTTTCTCAGCCTCCCAAAAAAACCCAAAAAAATCAAAGCATCTTCTTTCAAATTAAAAAAAAAAAAAAAAAAAAAAAACTAAAGCATCTTTTAAGTCTTTTGAACCCAGGAAATCTGTTGGGTTTCGAACCCCTAGCAGCTCGGCAGATCATTAGGTTCGAGAACCCAGTAGATCACTAGGTTCCATTGAACCCACCCAACATATCTTTGAATTCGACTTCTGTATTTTGGTAAGTACATCTCCAATTATAAGCAACCATATGCAAATTTTTTCCCTTATAACCAATTTTTGCCAAATTCTCAATGAGAACAGCCCACACAAACAAAATATTCATTAGCAAAATAATCAACTGCAACCAAAAAATATCCCTAAAATTCAAGTTTCTAAGCATAAAGGGCAAAAAAAAAAAAACCCAGCAGATCACTAGGTTCAATTAATGAACCCAACATATTGTTGGGTTTTCGAGAACCCAGCAGATCACTAGGTTCGATTAATCGAACCCAGCAAATTTGCTAGGTTTCGAAGAGGAGATGATTAAAAGGAGATGAGAGATGATGAAAGGAAAGAGACGATGAGGAGATGAAAAAAGGAGAGGATTAAAACCCAAGCCGGCAAACAAGGATCCAAGGGAAGAAGATGAATAACGAAAGAGGTTGGAGATGAAAAGTAAGGG